GCTGGATGGAGTTTCAAAGAAGCAATAGGTTGGTTGAGTTTAAAAACACCAAATAGAGACTCTACACAGCCACTTTCCAGTGCCTTCACCAAGTATCCCTCCCCCAGCCAGCCACTGGTGCTCTTCGTTGCTACGCTGAGGACAGCGTGGATGGACAATCTTCCTAATGCCACATCCCTGGATGGCCAGGCCCCTCTTTGCAACCATTTTCAGCTCTAAGTCACACATTTTGCTCTGCCAGGATAAGGCATGGTTCCTTCACTCAGGGAGATCCTAATCAAGAGAGAATTAAAATAGGATTCAAGTAAAACATGGCAAACTCTGTGAAAGGCCTAAGAGCTTCATGAAAATAGCGACCCCCATTAGCACCTTTGGACTCCGCGTGTACTCCCAGCGTCTTGCTTGGTGCCTGGTGCGTGATAGAGACTTCATAGATATTTGGAGAGAGGCAGAGCTAGAGAGAGGAAAAGAGGAAGAAGAAAGAAGAATATAAATAAAAAAAAGACTGAGCCTGTCTTCCCACAGCAGGGGAAAATGGAGGGTTCTTTATCAATATTGGCCTTCTGGTCACAAGTCCACCTACCCACAGTGAGTTTCCATTTGGGCACTTCAAATACAAGTGTTCATACCTTGAACCAGAATCCCATTTCTTAGTAGATGATACTTATAGATGTGCTCTCAGTCAAAACTCTGAGGGAGATCACAGAAAATAGCAAGGTTTCCCTGTTTTGGTTATCAGCAGAAATGTCGTGCATGCCGTGGACCATTCTACATGGATGCTGTAAGTTGCTGTCTAGTCATCATGGACTGTGGAAATATGCAATCCATGCCTAGATGAGTCAGCAAGTTAGAACACTTGAAAAACTGTTATTTAAATTTAAGGTTTTTTTCTTTCCAATTTTGGTCACTCAGAATGTGATTTCATATCCAAAAATGAAATAGAGGAGCAGCAAATTATCTGAATAATTCATGCCAGAATTACCCAAGCACTTTTGTTCTTTGCATACTGCTAGTTTGGGATTAGGTAATTGAAGGGTTCAGGGAGGATTGAATTATCCTGGTATTTTTCAGATAAATGCCTCAAGTTAATATTTTACTTGGTACAGACTTAGCTCTAATCATACGGGTTTTTGTCCTGCAGAAAGAGTGCTTATTTTAGTGTTTTTGACCACAGCACCTCTTATATCAAAGCGGAAATGCCCGTCAAAGTCTAAACTATATTATCCTTAGCCTATGACCGAAACCTTCTTTTAAATTTTTTATTTTAAATTTATTGTTAAAGTGATATACATACTTACAAGAGTAGTATTAGCATTATAATAAAGACTGGATGTGCCCTGTGCCAAACCCACCCCCTTCCCTAGCCTCACTCTTTTGAATCGACCACTCGCTTTTCCTTCAGGTGTTTTCTCTAGTATTCTCTATTTGGAAGTAACAAGCTCATACATATTTTCAGTTTCAAATAGTATCCCTGTTATCTATTGGCATTCTACTATAGAAAATCAAAATGATAGCACTTATAAACACTTATAAAGCATGTACAGTATCCCAGAGAATATTTCAGGTACTTTACACATATTTACTATTTTAGTCTTCTCAATGACACTATGTGACAGATACTTTTTTCTTTTTTTTTTTAAGAAACAGAATCTTGCTCAGTCTGCAGTACAGTGGTGTGCAGTACAGTGGTGTGATCTTGGCTTACAGCATCCTCTAACTTCTGGGCTCAAGAGATCCTCCCACTTGAGCTTCCTGAGCAGCTAGAACTACTAGCATGTGCCACCCCACCCAACCAAGCAGATACTATTATTATCCTAATTTTGCATATTGGAAACTGAGACATAGAATGATTACATATCTTGCCCAAGGTTACATAGTAATGATGGCAATAGATTGTGGAGCCAGGATTTGAACTCAGTCAGTCTGGCTCCTAAATCTGTGTTTTTAACAATGAACCAAATGTGTCTAGCTCCATTTTAGCATCCAACAATCCAACACTGCACCTGCTTTCTCTTTCTCTGTCTCTCTTTTTCCCTCTCTTTTCTCTCTGTCACACACACAACTACACACATGTACACATTCCTACTTCCTCTTCCTCCCACCCCCATGAGTATAGTTGTATCACTCTAAAGAGCTAAATCAGTATTCAGTGTTAATTATCATTATGGTTATTTAAATATTAATCACAAGGATTCATTCATTGTGTTGTCCTGTGTTATATTTTCTTTCTCATTCAATTTTATGTTTCCCATGGAAATAATTTTGGTTTCTTAATTTACAATGCGTTTCTAAACACTCTGCTGAAAACCAAACCATCTTTTAGCACCCTCAGACAGTTCAGGTGTTTGTCAGTTTCTCTCTGTTCATGGACACCCCCCTCCTGCCCCCATCTTCACTGCTGTCTCCTGGCACTGCCACACAGCTATCATCCCAGAGTCTGTCATGCACATCATCCTGGGAATTCCTTTTGCTTCTCCCCTGTTTAGACTCTGTTTCCCGAACCTGTCTTTTCTTTTTGGTTGATTCTCATGCTTCAATCATATATCTTCCCACCCAAGGAAGGTAAATAGGTGCTAAGTTTTTTGAGACCTTGACAGTCTGGAAATACCTTCAATTTACCGGATTGAGTGTTTGACTCAGTATAGGATTCTAGGTGGTAGATTATTTTCTTTCAGAATCTTGAACACATCATTTCATTTTCTTTTGCTTCTAATGTGTCTGTTGAGAAGCCCCATTCTTCTCTGCTGATGGCTTGGAAGATTTTATGATTTCTTCTTTATCTCCAAAATTTTGATTTTTTGATGCTTTGCCATGAAGTGGGTCTGTTTTCATTCCTGGACTGTGGGCACTCAGCAAGCTTTTTCAATCTCAGTACTTCAATTCTGGGAAATGTTTTGTACAATTTCTCTGAAAATTTTCTCTTCTCCAATTTCTCTGTTCCCTCTTTTGGAAATCATCTTATTCTAACGTTAGACATACTGGACTGATCCTCAGATTTTCTAATGATTCTTCTCTATTTATCCATACTTTGATTTTTTTTAGTTTGAATCTCTAATATATTTACTGAATTTTGCCTTTCAATTTTGCTATTGAATTTTTTATTTCTGCTATAATAATATTAATTTCCAATATCACTTTACTGGTTTTCTCTTTTTTCCTTCCTTATAGCTTTTTTCTTTTTTTTCTTTTTATTTTCTTTTTGAGACAGAGTCTTGCTCTGTCACCCAGGCTGGAGTGCAGTGGTGTGGTCTTGGCTCACTGCAACCTCTGCCTCCTGGGTTCAAGTGATTCTCATGCCTCAGCCTCCATAACTGGGACTACAGCCACCACACCTGGCTAATTTTTGTATTTTTGATAGAGACGGAGTGTCGCCATGTTGGCCAAGCTGATCTCGAACTACTGACCTCAACTGTTCCACCTGCCTTGGACTCCCAAAGTGTTGGGATTACAGGTGTGAGCCACCACGCCTGGCTTTTGTAGAGTTTTATGAGCAAATCTTATTTAAATGTTTGCAGTCAAATACAAATACATATCTTTATCTTCCTTTTTACAATAAAGGCATCATACTCTACACACAGTTTTGTTTCTTGCTTTTTTTCACCTTACATGTTGGAGGACTTTATGTGTTAGTGTATAGAGAGCTTCTTCATTCTTTAACATAGTTGCTATCATCTTCAGAAGTACACGGTGCTTCTAATTCCTGCATCTGGCAGCAGTGCAGATCAGTTAGTTGGATTCCCTGACTGTAAGCTTGGGTTTTTGCTTTTTCTGCTCTGCTAAACCAATTCTAAATGTTCATCCACCTTTCTGTTTCTGAAATACTATTGACATTTTGTCTGTTGTATCCTCTCCTCCCATTTCCCTTACTCATCTAAATTTGTGCCTTTTTAATTTCTTTTATTTCAGTGTTATTTTGCAGGATATGGAGGACAAATGTGCGTATTCAATCCATCATGTTTAATTGGAATCTCTAGCACATCTTTTAGCCAATTAGATTTTTGTTTCACCTTCTTCCCTTTCCCTTTCTTGCCCATGGACAGCTCTCTAAAGTTCCAGTTAGAGGAAAAATAAAAATAAGAATTATAACTTTCAGATGATGATGATGATCAAATATATTCCAGCACACTGAAAATAGGTTTCATGGTCTTTGTGAGTAAGCACAATTTTGAGACTCTGGAGCCACGCCTGGGGTTCTCCTGCATCCAAATGTGGTCTCATAATAGCTAGTATCATTACCAGAAAGTGTTTTTGTCTGGTGTAGCAACAAGAAGTAATTTAGTAATATGTGGCCTTTTCCACCCTCAGAAGATAGCTCCTCTCTGAAGATTTTACACCCAGAATGGGACTAATACCTCATGAAAATGATTGCACCTGCCTAGGGGAAAATTTATTTGAAAAGCAAAGCTGTTCCCTGGCTCAAGTTTGTACTCTTTTTCCACAGACTTACTAGGTATCCAGTATTGAGGGAAAAGGAGCATATTGTTCTTTAGCTTTTTCTTTTTCCCATAGATTTATCTACTTATGATCTTTCAACATGCTATGACTCAGTAGTCACACCCCAAAGAAAAAGCATTCTTCTTTAAACTTTTAAGGCTCAAGCTTATTGGAGAATAAAAGTGTCACCAGTGAATCTATCTAAATAAAATAAAAATATTTTGTTTATACTCAACCAACAGTACTATACTTCCTATCTTGTTTAACTCTGATAAAATTCCCTTGACTGTAAAAATGCCTGTGTTTCAATCAGTATGGTTGAGAAATTATTTCCATAGCTGAGTTAGAAAGTGTTTAGTAAGTGTGTGTTATTACATGACTATTGCTTTCATTGTTTAGAGAGTGGTTTATATGAAAAGAGAATAATTTGCGTATTGGAATGAAGTGTTCTTCAGTGTGGTTTTTATGAGGATAATTTCCATTTTTGGTGAGCTGTTTAGTGGTGTTGTCTTGTAACTTGACCATAGTTTTATCTAATTTTGGCCTGTGGTTTCTCTTCTGCTTAGGCATAATGACATCAATAGAAAAATGAAGAAATCCTACAGCATAAAGCACATTGCTGAGCCAGAGTCAAAAGAACTCTTCTTGTAAATCACTTTTTAAATTTTCTCTCACTGATGCCCTTTGGACACTAGTGGAAATTTCTGGATATCCTCTACGGAAAGAGAACCATGAAAACAATGCCTCACCAGCAGAAGAACAGAATATCAGGATGCCTTAAATTTATAGTAGTAGACTGTAAAAGATTCCTTTTGGGGTGATATCTGTATATATAACTTGTGGTTTTTTTAGAAAAAAAAAAAAGATGCTGTTTAAAAGCATGATTGGGAAAATGTATGTTTTTAAAGAGTAGATTGATTCACCCTACCCACAGGACGTTGACCAAACCACTGATGCCATTTTATATTTCATCAATTGCATGAGTATTTGCTAATGTTGATTGAACCTCCCTTTCCCCGTAATGTGGGCAGATTTGGCTCAGCTCCTTCATGAGATCAGGTCAGTGATATTGTTTTATGTCAAGAGTATTCTTTCTGTCATTTCTACTTTTGCATAAAGGAAATAAAACAATGTTAACAGCCACCTATAAGCTTGGGGCACCTACTTTCTAACAAATCTGTGATGTTCTGATTTCTAAGGGACTTTGCAAGTATTTTGACTGCTGGTATTTGATTTCAGGAACAAACTGCTCAGTTTAGCGGTTTTCCCATAGGGGTCAAATAAAACGTTCTATATTTCATTAAGTACTAAAAGATCAGACAAGTATATAAAGTAAGTCAGTTCCTTCTGCCTTCTCAAATCTCAGTGTTGACATGGGAAAATATTAAGGAGAACTAAGGATTTAGCCCCTTCTTGGGTCACTTTTTTCTGCCTTTGACACATTATGAGACCTGTCTAATCCCTTTAGGAGACAGTGTGGAGCCCAAGTTCATAACAGCCCCATTGTTGATGCAGCTCTCTCCCTCCATGTAAGCAGTAAGTTCCAGAAGGCTTCCTTCTATCATGTAAAAATATATTTCTGTTGAAACTTCAAGAGTTTTATTTTCAAAGTATTGGCATGGCCTATAAGAGGCCTGTCAAGTTTTAGTTTAAAAGTAGAATGTATTCTTACCAGTAGGAGGGAACACTGTATGCTACTATAGTTACTAGCAATGTCACTGCAGCCAAATCAGTCAAATGTGAACCATTCCTGTATCCTGGTGCAGAGAGCAGATAAACTCACTGAATTAAGAGATAATCTTGCATATGTAGGTCATCTGACAAACTTGGGCTTGATGAGATGCAATTAGGTAGAAAAGGAGCTAATAATATCTGAGTGGCTTTTATGTACCAGACAGTATTATGTGGTGATATTACTACTTTCATTTTATAGATGAGAAAACAAAAGTTTGAAATGTCTTAAGACCTGGTTCCCAGGTAACAGGTAACACTAGTAGTAAATCGCATAACTAGGCTTTGATACATATTTGCCTATTATCCCCACTACACTGATGATCCTACACTGTGCTGTCTCCCTAGTGCACTAAGTGCTGGACTCGCACAGGAAGCATGAGTTCCGGTGTCAGCTCTTCTTCTAACAGCCCTTTGATCTCAGACAAGGGGCATTGCCCTGCCCAAGAAATCTGGAAAGGGCAAGACGGGCCTACGTGCACATCAAGGAGAAGAAGTTTCCTTTCAAACTTACAGAGCAACGCATCTATGAATTTCATTCCATGTGCTGTGTCCTTGTCTGGGTCCTGAGAGTTGCTACTGTTACAGCCTGGTGCCATGTGTAAACCTTCATTTATCACCTGGTCTTTTCCTCAAACGAGATGCCCTCACTCTGATTTATGCCCCTTGGCCTTATCCACCCACTTTGATTTTTTCCTCATATTTCACTACTTTGTCCTATTGCTTGAGATTCTAATAGAGAATTTATGGCAAGCACATGTGAAATATAGACTCCTGTGTTTTCTTTCTGCTTAGTGCAGAGGAGGTGATGGTGAGGTCACACAGCCAACCTTTGGGATTTGGCCAAAATGAAGCCTCGAAGAAAGAGGACCCGGTAAGTGCTCTCTGTCTCCCAGACATCCCAGTTTTCTTCTTAAACTGTGTTTTTAAATGTGAAAGATGAAGGGGTCTAGGCAGAGATTTCATAAGCCACAAAGAGTTCCTGATTAAACATAGCAAAGAAAATTTCAAGAGTTTGAAAGAAAGAGATGTTACTTTGACTTAGAAAAAACACTGGCAATTCAGTTGTTCAGTGACACTAGCATTTTAGCTTCTGCAGTCTGAGTACAGAAGAGCAAAGAATAAAAAAGGTAAAATAGGGAAGTTGAGCAGATTCAGATCAGCCCAAGAAATCTGGGCTGATAATGCATTCTGTTTAATGATGTTGCTAGGATACTAAAAATAATGGCCCTTAAATTATACATGTACCTACCTTTACTAAGTTCCTTATGAAATTGATACCTATGGTTGCTTGAAATTAGTACAAATGATGTTTTCCTTACCACAAACTTAGTTTTGTCCACCATTTTTTAAATGAAAACACAGAAAACTCATTTATTTTTTTCTAGAAATTGAGACGCATTCACATGTTAAAGAAAGCAAGAATGTGTTTCCTTTTAGTGAGCAGAGCTTTGAGGCCCCTGTCCCAACTGCCGCCCATTGGGCTAGTAAAATGAGTAAAGCTCTATCTGCATGCCTAATTACATGCAGCAGAGTAGGAAACTCAGCTCCATTGTAAAAAACAATCACATCTGTCAGTATCTTTTAAAGACTGGGTTCTTTTATGTCACTAAAGGGACTTATATTACCAAAGTTCAACACAGCAAATTAGGAATGTTTCTTAGAGAAGATAACAAGATACCAAACTGTCACCACTTTCAATGGATTGAATTCCCACTATTTATTCTTGTAAAACAGTATCAAGACTTCAAACCAAATAAGAAAGTTCTAGATGTGCATCACAGAGTTGGAAGTGCGGGTGAGGCTTTCAAAAGATACCGTCAAGTAAGACTTTGAGAATTAATTATTTTTCTCAAAATGAATAATGATAAGCAAAATTACGGTACAAGCTAGAGGAAATAATTATCAATATTTAAATAACTCCCTAAAAGACTCCTTGATACAAACTAGATTAAATGTTTTTTCTTCAGCAGCCACCTATATCCTTAATGTTGAATTAAGTTAATAGAGCTAAGTAAGCCTAAGGAATTATTGCAACAGAGTTGGTACATTGCCCCTTGTAAAAAATGGAGTTCACACTGTCTACAGCCCATAACTCTCACTGGCTGATAGGTCTGTCATTACTATGTTATGTTGTCTCAGTATTATTTCCCTTTATTCTTTGACTACTGCATAGTTTTATATAACTTTTCAAGCACTTGATTCCTGTCTCCTAATGAGACCATAAATTTGTTAATCTCAACAGAATCTTAGTATCACCTCTCACAGATGGTGTTTAGTATCTACTAACAACTTATAGCCATCTTTCTTTCCATATCCTCCCCAGTCTTCTTCTATTCTCTCCTCGTCCTCATTTTCTCTCTTCCTCCTTCCTTCTCTCCCTTACTCTCTCCTCTCCCTCCCTCTTTGCTGTCATCTCCCCTCCTTTTTTCTCTCTCTTTTCTCTGCCTTCTGTTTACAAGATCATTAAACCCTATATATATGGGATCTTCCTTGGAAGAAACCTGGCAAAGAAATTGCAGTAAGTAGACATGTACTGGACCAGGTTTACAGTGAAAAGCAAGTCGCTTCTCCCTTCTTGCCAGAGCATGTGAGTGTGACAAGCATCCCATATGCTAATATATTCAAAACACTGTGATTCAACCCATGCCAAAGAATGGGGCCCTGTGCTAGGCATTCCATTGAACAAAAAAGACCTGGAAGTTAGTATCAGCCATAGGAGGAACAAAGATAAGTCTACCAAATTGTGCATTTGGAGAGACTTGTGGAAAAAAACTATTCCAACTAGTTTATAGCAGTGATTCCCAACTTTTGCTGTACATTATACCACCTAGGGGAGCTTTTAAATACTGGATACCCAAGCTAAACCCCCAACAAATAAATCCCCTCTCTGTGGTGGAACCCAGGCATCAATATTTGTGAAGAATAAGATGAAAAAGAAGAAGGAAGGAGGAGGAGGAGGAGGAGGAAAGAAGGAAGAGAAGGAGAAGAAAAAATACTAGGATTTCCATATGCAACCAGATTTAACTTAACTATAATTGTACATATTCATGGGATACATAGTAATGTTTGGAACCATATCATTTACAGCGATCAGGTCATGGTACTTAGTATATCCATTACCTCAAATACTTAACACTTCTTTGTGCACCTAAGTTTTATAACTAGCACCTTGCTAACTCAAAATGTGATCAGAACCCATCAGCATTGGCATCGGCTGGGAGCATGCTCAAATGCAGAATCTTCTGGCATTCACCATGGCTTCCACTTTTAATTTTGTGATGCTGTAAACTGTCTATTGAGAAAATATTTGAGAATAATGGGCAAAAAATTACCCTGTCCTCAAAGAGAAAGAAAGAGTAGTATATCCCTAAACCTGGGTTAAAATGTGGAGAAGAACTTATTTTGTGTTTTAAGGGAGTGTGTGTAATGTGTATACAATTTGAAAACCATGTTCCATGTTGTAATTCACATGTTGGAAATTTTGTAAATCCTATAATTATAGAAAGTGAAGCTTCTTTTCTGGAGGGGAGAGGTAGAAGACACAACAATAATTTTTCAGTCCAGGATAGGGTCAGTACACTTTTATGTTTAATCATAATGTAGCTAGGTTTTCACTTGTTATGAAATATTTCTCTAAATTTCCTAAAATCAATGTTTATAGAAGTCAAATTACCAGAAAACTACTCATTATGCAGTAGTATATCCAAGACAAAGCACACTCAAAGCAAAGACCAAACCCTACCTCTCAATACCATTTCCTAGCTGCTACTGAAGGGGCTCCTCTTGATAAACCACCAAGATATATGATATTTTATGACCTTGTTGCATAGGACACTGTTATATGTCAAATATATTATTTTGTACACACCACACACACACATATGCTGAATGCCTACCATGTACACAGCTCTGCCCCAAGTGGTGGAAGGTAAATTAGCGATAAATTCATAAGAAATATTTTTGATGAAATGTGGAAAGTCTTAATTAAACAGAATAAATCTGAGAAGTACAGTGATCTGTCATGATGTTATACTCATATATGTATTTTATAACTGTATATTTTTTCTGTGGAATTTGTTCTCACAGTTGTTCAGCCAATTAGGAACAGTGGCAGAAGAATTTAAATTCTATTATTTGTGGTAGAAAATGCTAGTTATCTCCTCAATATCCTTTCTCCCTTTCTTCTGATTAAGAGAACACAGTTAAATGTTCCCAGATAAAATTACCTTCCCAGATGCCCTTGAAACTGGGAATGGCCATGTGACTCAGTCTGGCCAATGAGAGGGAAGTGGAATTCGTAGAGTGGGGCTTTAGAAAATCTTGTAGAGGTCAAAGCTTGCCTGGCACTCATTTTTGCCCTTTGTACTACCCTGGGATACAGCATTGCTTCTTTGGCCATAAGGACAAAA